AATGCACCCCAGGATGCCATTGGCCTTCTTGGCAGCCAGGGCACACTGCTGGCTCATGGTTAACCTCTTGTCCACCAGGACACCCACGTCCCCCTCCGCAGAGCTGCTCTCCAGCAGGTCCGCCCCAAGCCTGTACTGATGCATGGGGTTGTTCCTCCCCAGGTGCAGGACCCTGCACATGCCCTTGTTGAACCTCATCAGGTTCCTCTCTGCCCAACTCTCCAGCCTGTCCAGGTCTTGCTGAATGGCAGCACAGCCTTCTGGTGTATCCACCACTCCTCCCAGTTTGGTGTCATCAGCAAACTTGCTGAGGGTACACTCTAACTCTTCATCCAGGTCGTTGATGAAGAAGTTAAACAATTAATGATGGGCCATAATCATCTTCCTTTATAACACTATAACAGGGCTGCAACATCCCTTTTTTTTTGGCACAAAATCTATTTTTTGTTTTTTATTTTTGCAGCTTATCCCTGACTACAGTTAGGTAGTTAGTAGGATTATTTTATTAATCATCATTGCAACACATAATCATTCATTAGATATTTGAGCTAGTGAATATCACATTTGTATTAGAATGGAGCTCACTGAGTGGTGAACGATACGTTCACACAAAATATCTGAGTTGTGGAAAATGTGTGCACTGAATTTAAGTTCACTGAGGAGCAAAACAAAGCCCATGACAAATCCAGAAAGTTACGGTTAAGTAACTAGCTTCTGTGATTGTTTTATGTACTGTTATTAATGTAGTGACTTAAGATTGAGCACAGCTTTGTCTTTTGCTGAGAATTTTGGTGCACGTGGCACTGTACAACAGATTAAATCCTATCAATTTTCCCTAACATGTTACAGGCTGAAAAACAGAATTTATATGTAATTTATATGCTTCATTTTGCACACTGTTGAGAAAAAAAGAAGGAAGTGTAATGTTGTCAGAGAAATGCTGGTTGCATGGACAAAAGGTTATATTACTGTGTCCCCATACAGAGTCATTTCTGCATCTCTCCCTAAAAGCAACATAGTGTTACGATGTCCCATCCATTCTCCTTTACCATGGCATCCTCATTCTTCAGTACTCATCCACGTCTGCTCTAATCATTCAATAATACAAAAAACCCCAGCTTTTCCAAATAGTATCGTAAGGAAAGGAAACTATTGCTTTACAGCTCCAATTACAACCTAATAAAATGAATGCTTTGCAATGTATAAACTGCTGAACAGAGCTATGGATCAAGCTGCTGCTAAGTATATCGCTACATTTAGAGATATGCTGGCTGACTTCTAAGTGGACCTTCTGGTGTTACACGGTATTACCAGTTCCTGTCTAAGCAGATACTTTTAACTGTTTGAGACGCCAGCTTCTCAGTCCCCTTTCCTGAAGCATAGAGTCTTTGAAGTACACAGAGGAGCTGGATTTCACTTACAAGCAGTTCTGAAAATTTCAGCAGTAACCAACCGTTTGATGAGCTGTCTTGGGTACATCTGCTCAGTATTTTGCAGACAATGGGGAGCTCACTGACTGTCATCTAAGTTGAACAGAGTTTATGTGAATAGTACAGCACTGAGACCACACCAGTGTAAGGCATCTGTCCTCAGCATACATTAACTCAAGAAACAAAACCAACTTAGTCAACTCCTGCGTGATATCTGGGTAACACAAGCATGGGCCAACAATCTCACACCTGCTCATAATTCCCAGACAAAAGTTTAAAATTCAAAAGGGCAGGGGATGAAATTAAGCAGAGAGAATTGCAAGGCAGTATGTTTAAGTGATAATTATCAACTAAAAGCACCTACAATGGAATAATTGGGAAAGATAATGACTTTAAAAATGAAGGATTGGAGACCGTGGATCACAAAGTGAATAACAACATGCTATTGCAAAAACGGGGATGTGTATGCAAGAAGATGGCTTGTAAAAAGTAATTTTTCCTTTCTCTCAGCAGCTGAAACAGTTTGGGCAGTAAGCTGGAGTCATAGACGTTTAGATGAAATGGAAGCAGTCTACAGGAGAGTAAGAATATGACTTAAATTATCTAGAAAACATGAAAGGCTAAGTTAATTGGGACTGTTTAGCCTGAAAAGAAAGAATGAAGGAGGCACACAGTAACAACTATCATTTGTAAAATGCTGTTTCCAGCAGAAGGGAGTCAGGTTACACAACTGGAAGAACTTTTTAAAATTAAAGATAGAGAAGCCTTGGGCTGCCTGCAGGTCATGAAGCCTTCATTCTTGGAGCTTTTTATAACTGGTTAGCCAAATATTTGTCAGGAGTGATATAAAGATAACTGATTCTGCCCAGGTGGTAGAGGATGGACTGCGTGTCACCTCAAGGTCGCCTTGAGCTCTGTGATTTTATGGATGGCAGACAGAACAAGTCTGCAAAATACATCTCAGACTAAATGTAACCTCTCAAACAATTTAACTGGAAAAGGATCACTCGTTCATCTACTCAAATGTGCTTTGGAAGATCCCTGCAACTACCTGTAATGTTCACTCAACCTGTTAGAAAAGATGCAGATTAACTCTGGAAAATACTTAAAATGGGGAATTTTATTAAATAGTATGATTCTGAAAGACCACAAAGGTATAGCTAACCTACAACAGCTTCAAAGAAAGGCAAAATTCATCAGAAAGTTACTGCAACACATTAGTCATTCATTCTCAAATAAACATAGAATTGAAAATAAAACCAGAAAGAGAATTGAAGCTTACTGCTTCACCGGTTTTTCCAAGGTTTCCTTGGTCTCCTTGTTCTCCCTGTTAAATGTGGAAAACAGATGATGTAGTTCATTAGAAAAGTAATTTTTTTCATACGTGTATATTAAAGTCCTCTTTTCCTATGAGCCTCCTTATTTTCTAAATTACATCTGCCAGTTAAAACTTCAAAAGCTAAAATGAAGCAACCAGCAAAAATTTAATTTTGTCAGTGGCTAATTTTGATTTTGTAAAAAGATGTAAGCACTGTCCTAATGTATTTAAGACTTGCCCACAAAAACGAAAACTATGTATTAAGGGCTCACTAAATACAGTAAGTCAGCAAATACTATAAATCTATGATTTAGTTTTTGTTTAAATCTTCCTTTCAGCAAATTACCTTCATTATTTCACAGTTGCTTCAAAAGTAAAGGTCACCTGTGCGCACTATTGATAACATTAATTTTGTTATGAAATATTATACTAGGAAAATTATTATTCAAATGACATTTTAGCAAACTTCTCCTCCTTCCGCCAAAAGCTTGGATCTGCCATTATGCATTAGATTAATTAATCCTGTTCTCCTTAACAATGCTGCAAGTTACATTATGTAAGTCCAGAACATTTTTGTATGTATTATTTCACAAGTGGAAGTTGGCTGTATATGCACTACTAATTACTTGGCTACCACTATAATCTCAGTGCCCTGATGAGCAGCGATTTGGGTGCTGTTTACTCAGATTGAAACTCAGCACTCAGAAATTCTGCTGCCACAAGTTCCTCTTTCAAACTGCAGCACTTCATCTCATCCCCCCTCACACCCCCAAAGTCCTTTGTTGCCTCTGGGCCCAGCCACCCTCGCATCCCCAGGCAGCTAGATCTAACTGTAGTAGGTGTTGTCTTTTCTTATACATCCCTGTGTCCTAGAGCTGCGTAATTTCCTTCTTTTCCAAACTGGGATCTCGCAGGAAAGCAGAATCACCATTACGATTCATATATATATTATATAGATGCATGTGTACTCATAATCCTTTCACTGGCATGCCACTACATACATCAGTGTATAATTATACACAGTTGATACTCCAAACACATTTTATTTCATACGTAAAACCATTACTTACCTTTACACCTTCTGGTCCAGGATCACCTACATGGCCTTTCTGTCCCAGCTTTCCCTAAAATAATTAGTAGAAAATATTGTAAATTTTTTTAAAATTATAATTTCATTCCAATTTCTCAATGTATCAAAATATGTGCACTCAAAAATGTAGAGTTTAGTAATATTTAATACCAACATTGGAAGCTAGTGTATTTATAAATCCACATCTGAAAATATACTGTTGATTATTACAGCAAATACTAGCAAAGTAAGCAGAATCTGTATTAACTCTTCCAGTGGTTAACACTGAGGAAACAGAATCTGAACTTTAGACATCAGGGACTGGTGTCATAATTGTCCTTCCTCAACCACACGAAATCAGCTCAAATATCCTCTCCTCTTTGTTCATCGAATTGATTATTTTAAGCCACTCCACTCTCCATCAGCATTTTGCTGCTGATAGATCTTGTGGCTATGATACTCAGTTAATAACATACAGTTACCTGGAAGGAATACACCAACATCAATCAGAGCAGGAGGCAATGAAGTGACAAGACCTTTGAAGCATTTTATAATATGCATCCCTCCCTCTGTTGTCACTCACACAGAATCACAAAGGCATAAAACCCAGAATGCTTTTCCCCTGAATTTTCGATTAGATGTTTATAACTTAATTATGTCTCACTTATGGAAGGTCTTTTTCCCTTTAGGCATACTTTACTTCCTTTACAACATAAAACATGGCCTAACTATTTGTTTATCTGAACAGCATAGCCCTGCCTAGACAAGTTTTCCCCATCTGCTCTGAAGCAAAGACCCTAATTCAAAAGTAAGGGTCCAGTAGACCGGATCTGGCTCTTGAACAAGTTGCCAATGAGATCACTGAAGCCTGACAACTGGAGAAAGAAAATAAATTCAACATTTTAATGATTCAGTATCAAAAAGATGCAGATTTCTGGTAAAAAGAAATTACCAGCTGTTGTTCCAGCAGACTGCATAATTGCAATCACAGGACTCTGTAATGAGAGCTTTCCTTTCCACATCAGCTGTCCTGAGACAAGAGAAACTAAAGCAACAGATAACAAACAGGTTTCTTAAAAAAAGATGGGATTTTTCCATTCAGCTCTTTTGCTCTGGCTGCTTTGTGCCCATCTTTCAGAGCACAACGTCTGTACTAGTTTCTGGGCATCCGAGAAATTCTCTATTTGGCATAATATTATATTGTCTTAGTAGGGTCCGTGACTTCTCACATTAAATCCTTTTTATCCCTCTTGTTCCCTCACTGCCTGCCTGAGTGATATCATTTTGCTCTACAAGTTCCAACAAATATCACTGCTTTAGGAACAGACTTTTGTTTTTGCCAATGGATTAAAACATGACACAGCCAGCAATGCAGGGAGAAAAGACCGTGAAGCAAGGTTCTGAGAGACCCGGATAAAGCAAGTCACGTATTTCCACAAGGCTGAGAAAAAACAGGTGATGGGCTTCTGCAGGTTACTACATGCTGTTAAACTACTTTGCTGCAAAGAACCTTAAGATCATTCTGGAGAGCAAGACTGTAACATAAAATGTTTTAAACAAAATCAATTGAAAGAAAACTAGTGGCCACTCCTAACCACCTTGATAATTTTAGTGCTATCAGAGCTGGATTTGAGTCACAACTCGTAAAGGTTTCTTGCCTGTAGTATCCCAGCTGTGTACTAGCTGCGAAGGACACACAACAGATGCAGGTTGATCAGAAAATGGGACAAGTGGATTTAACTGGTAAAGCAATTTGAAACATACAGATCTGGCTTTAAACAGAAATGCAATACAACTGTAAATTACACATGAAGGAAAAGTCACTGACCGAAGGTTAAACTAGGGATGGCTGCTTTTCTGCTTGCAAAACCCTGAGAAAATTACTTTACCAGAGCAGGGTAATCCCAAAGGAAATGCCTGTTTCCTAAAATACTAGCTGAAAGTTCTGCCCTTCCCTTTCAGGAACCAGCAACCACCTGTGCTTCCTTTCACCTCACAATGGGTTGACACAGGCATGTATATTTTAATATTAATATCTCTCACTATCACTTTATTCCAGTCCCTTCACAAGCTTTTCACACGCCTTCAGCCCACAGGAAGACATACGCCATCTTCAGAAAATACTGCACTGGGGGTGTGGGGCAGCTTTGAAAGCACTTTCCTCTGTCCTCAGGAGGAACTGCTCACCTTATGACTATACAAATAACAGCTTTTGTTTTACACATGTATCTCAGAAAGGAGTCAACTCACGACAATTCCTTTTTACATTATGGCTTAAAACAACCTCCGCCTTTTAATGGTATTTTCTGCTCCAGCAATGAAGATTAAAAAAACCCAAAGCACCTGTTCGCACGGACTGAGCTGAGCTACACTGACAGTTACAGTGTTAATATTTGGTTAGCCTTTCAGAAAGAGTTAAGTGGGAGGAAACTGAATAAACACAGTCACTTCTTTAATGTAGCATCTACTGTATTTTCACAGGACAAATAAAGAAATACTAAAAAAAATCAGCATTTTTTGATTTAGAAGGATTAATTTAAGAGAATGTAAGTATATGGAATGGAATGGGTGGGAAGGTTTGGAAAGGAATGAATGAAGAATCAAACTGTGTCATCAGATTAATCTAAAAAACCTCTTCCTAAATTCAAACAGGCTGAGCTCTGTGGAATCTGAGATACATCCTGAGTAAGTGGTGAAGCATCCTCGAGTTAGGCTCCAGGTTTTTTTAGACATAGGGGAATTCTTTTCCAAGCTGTGACCTGAGAATCAGAGTGGAGGTTCATATTCACCTCTGTTGCAGTAGAGGATGATCTATTTTGCTGGCAGCATTGGTCAAGTGGGACCCAAGGGCTTTTGGTCTCTTGCATGTTTTTTTTAAAGCAAAACAAGGGTGGGGGTGGGAGGAGAAAAGTGAGGTGAAAAATTAATGGCTGCCTGCTTGGTGCATGCCTAAACCTGAACTGGGAGCTGAACACTTTGACCTGAAAATGACACAGTAGAAGAGATGAGGAATTCCAGAAGCACTACAAACCCGCTCCATTACTGTCCAGGAGAAAACTAGAACAGTTTCGTAAGATAACCAAAGGTTTACAATATATCACTTACAAGGACACTTTAGCTAGTTTAGACAAACCCTAAGAAAGTCAGGATAGAAGTGGCTGCAAAGAGGACTAACCAGGCCTACAAACAAGGTCTGTAGGATAGGAAGCAAGGTTGTGGCGAGAAAGACACAGGCAAGACTGTCACATAGAACAGCCTGACACTACAAAAACCGCCTGTAAACCAGGCAAAAGACTGAAGCAGATTGCCAAGGAGAATGAAGAATCCCCACCCCTGCAGGCTGCAAAAAACACGTTAGACACACATGTGTCAGCTAAAGGCATACCTGACAGCTGATGGTGCCTTGGGGCCATGTACCTCCAGACCACTTCTTCAGGTCCCTCTCAGAGACCTCCCCTGCCCCACGGCTATTTAATTAGTACAGTGACAACACAGTTTTGATAGCATTTACTTTCAGATGTAGCATTTACTTCTTTAAACTCCTTTCATGGAAAATGGAAACAAAGCCTATGTAAATCAAATGAATGTGAAATTGCAATCAAGCAAGTATAATTTAAAAATACAGATGTGTTCAGCAGCTTACTGACTCAGTCCTCCTAAACTATATCAGATTTAACAACTTCACAATTGGAACTCTCTCTCTGCAGTGTAATCATACAGTCTATGTTACAAACAGGAGTGAAGCAGCAAGGACAAGCAGAGATGGGAGCAGAGGTCACAGCAGCAGTGAAAATAAGTGAATCTAACATAACATAACATAACATAACATAACATGTGTGAAACAGCTGGAGCCAACAGAAGCTGCAGAATCCAGGTGAGAGCAGATGGGCCCTGGGACGAGAGTGAAAACCAGGCAGGGCTGCCCATCAAGCAAAACTCCCATTTCCCCTACCTCTCATTTCAGGAGGGTATGTTAGCCAGCAAGCTACTGAAAAATGTCTGGAGACAGCAACCCCGGGACCCACCTCAGAGCCACACATTCTTCTCTCAACAGCTTGTTGTGAGAGAGATAAACCAGGGAGCCATAAGACATGCCAACACTGTGCATATTTCCCACTGAGAGAAATCAAATCCAAAATAATTTAGGTCAAACTGACCCCAAATAGACTAAAAATATTCCAGTTTGCTAGGTTATGCAGAAATTTTTCCTCTTGGGTCACTTTGACACCAGCTGATGGTGGTCTGTGCATGCCTGGTGACACGGAGAACGTGAAGGTAGGTGTCTCATCGCCCATGAGTCACCCACTGCAGCACCTTCTTTTCCAATTGCCACAGCACAACATGGGAGATGCTGTCCAGCCATGAAGCCCTGCCCAAGGAGGAGACTCCAAATGTGAGGCAGCAAAAATAAAATTTCCATGAGGCTCTTGGCAGAAGCTCAGGCAAATTAAACTGAATATTGAACTGAGTCACAAAATGTTATGAAATTCTGTTCAATTTTTTGCATGTTTTCCTCAGCTGAAAAAAAAGAGGGTTTTTTTTGCTTGGGGTTTTTATTTTACTTTTTTTGGGGGGGGGGGGGTTTAAACACCTAATCCATGTGGCAAATAAGCATTTTAGTATTATTTCTAACAGAAAGCAATCTCCAGCTTTGACTAGCTAATAAACAGGAAAAATGACATAAGAATACTTCCACTCTAGAACCGGGAAACAAAATTGGAAAGACTTTCCCAAGGCCACACAGAAATGGGAAGTCACCCAAAATGAAGACCAAGCCAGTGATTCCCACACACAAGCAAATCAAGTGAAGTCAGAAGATCATATTGCTGCCGTCCCTAGTGTAAGCTAGTATTCTTTTTTAGCTTACGATTTTTCTAAAAAAAAGCATTAAGTCCACTAAAATAGTCTTAGACACTAGTACATGTTTGTAACTAACAAAATTGGTTGTTAGTTTTAAACTTTTATCTTTTAAAATGTCAGCATAAACAGCATTGTGACATTCCAGCTTTACTGTTCTCAGCAACTGTCTACAAGATCAGTTTGAAATGATTTCTTAAAGCATCAGTCCTTTATATTTCTTCCTGTGAGCCAAGTCTCATGGTGGGTTCTTTCTGAATTTAAATGTTTTGATATATCAGCTGGTTCTGTCCTTAGGAAGTGTTTGGTGGTTTCATCTGTCTCACAAGAGCACCATAAGCAGTTTGTTATTGACTCTTTCTTTTAAAAAAAATTATTTTGTGCACCATGGCTGTGATTTCCTTTCAAATCATTTGTATGGAAAACCATTTCTCTTTCCAGCTCTGCTTTAAGCATGTGCTGAGGAAAGAGACATTTATTCAGGAGATGCCATTTTAAACCCGTCACTTCTTACAGTAAATTCACCTTTTAAAGCAGTACTTCTGCAGAAAAATAGTCTGCCCTAACAAAATCACTTATACTTACTCTTGGGCCAACTGCTCCAATAGGTCCAGCTGGTCCTACTTCTCCCTAAAAGAAATTAGGACTTCAATAGTCTTGTACTAAGTCTAGCTTTAAAAAAGAAACTCTGCAAATAACTGTATTTATATAATCTTAAATTTGCTTCCTATGTGTTTGTATGAGTCTAAGTCTGATAGAAACTCTATATGAGAGACTAATCTGACTTCAGACAAATACCTTAGCCAGAAAGCCATGCTCTGTGTAGCCACTAGATCCAACCAGAAAAGCTGTGAAACTGTTGGTATACCTACCATTACAGCAATATTTTCACAATTTTGAGCAGGCAGAGACTCTGCAATGATGGGTTAAGCTCTGTCTACCCTGCAGTTACTTCATGCTAGCATACTTCAAGACTGTAAAAGCATAGGAACATTCCTGCTTTTCTCTTCCAAGTTGCTATGGCACAGCCACTAAGTTAGCCAAGCCATTTTGCCAGGGTTTATCCTTGTCTTTTCTCAGGGATGAAGGGAGGCTGGGGGTCAGGCTTGTCAGGTGTGTAAGAGAGGAAATGAGACACTGTGCCTGTGCTGTGCAGTGCACTGATATAAGTATGCATGATGGGGAACTGCAGTGTTAACTCTTCAGGGTCCACTCATTATACAGTTGTATTAAAGCATGGATTTGTATCAATGAAGTGCCAGGATGTCATTTTATGGTTCACTGATCCTCCTCAACATGGAAGATTTTCTCCACGTTTTGGAGGAAGTGGTACACAACCTTTTTAATGACAAACCATAGGAAACAAAGAAATTAAGAAATTCTATCTGCAGCTTCCTGCCTTCTAACAAAACAGATCATTTTGCCACTATTAGCTTTTACTCACTCCACATCTGTCATGGAAGCCCATAATTAAGCTACCTAGGAGTCTAGAGGTCTATCCCCAGAATCACTGATTGCATTATTTCTAACGTTAATTATTTTTAGCCTAAGAGACGTGTTTCTATTTTTGTGATGATGAAGAATACTCAATAAATTTATAGGACGAAGAGCCACTTTCCTCCCCCTTATCAATTTAATTACAGTATCCTAGATACACATCCTGGTTTTGTCTAGGGTACTGTAATTAAATTGATATATGGTTTCTATCTCCATACCACCACCCTCATCTCCCCAGTTTAACTAAAAGAACCACATCTGACTGGGACACATATTATCTGAGATTCCACTGAAATAATTAAAATAAACTGCATAATGGATGCGCAGCCCTGTAAGGCTGCTAAAACATCTTTGCAATACCTGCCAAAATGCAAAAGAAATTAAAAATTTTGGATGACAACACCATAAACACCTAGCCATTGTTGTCTAACCCCCCTCACAACCTTTTTTTTTTAAACATAATCTCTTGATTGGATAATTTTTCCATCTTACCTCGACTCCTTTGGGGCCTTGTGGCCCTGGAGGCCCTCGGTCACCCAGAAGGCCCTAAACATACAAACACACAGAGTGAGAACTTATATCAAGTAACAGTCAGGTTGGTCTAGTTCCTTTCCTCTTACAAACCTGGACAGAAATGCAAAACTGAGGAAGCAGACCTCATTTCTTACCATTGTTCTTAAGATTTCCCTTAGGAAGCCAGGAGAAGATGCAGCAGAATTTGAGTATCTGCTGGAAAACTGAGTATCTTACAAACTTCTACTACATAGATTTGTTTGAAGTTTTTTTCTTTTGTCTTTTTGAAAAGGAAATAAGAAAATATTGGGGCTCACAAAGGAACAATTCCTCTTTTTGAAGATGTAAAGCACACCATCATATTAAGATTAAAGCAGAACCAAGGTAATTCTTACAGATCTTTGATTTAGGTAGTCTTTAGCATAACATGTGATGAGAACATTGCAATGGAAATAAACTACACAGTGAATTTGAACTACTAGCTTGTCCAAAACTACTGGTGATTTTCAGCCCTTACTCTTCTGTCAGGATTATAATCAGTTTCCCAGAGATAAGGCACCTTATCTTCTGCCAACTCCGAGTTTTCATGACTGCTCACACCAACTTTTTCAAAACTGTTAAAACAACTTTGCAGCTAGCAGTGTGTCAAAAGCCTCGGTCATCCCAATTACAATAGTAGTAATTGGGAAAAGCACTTGACCTGATGTAGGACAAAAAAAATAAAAATCTGTGTAAACATATTATTAATGTTCTGGGAAAGCTAAGCTTAACAACATCAGATAAAGCGACAAGAACAAAGAAACTGCCCTTTAGGAGAGATATGATTAGCCTCTGAAGAAAGCAATGGTGGGAAAGTTCCAAGTGTAAGCCTTATTAATTGCTTACTAATGAAGCTGAAGTCTAGACAGAAGGTGCAGGCATTGTTCCAGTAACAGTTTACTTGGCACGCAAAGTGAAATGGAACAGAAAACGGAACACGCCACCTCAAGGTACTGAGTTTCATCAAAGAGCCCAGCAGTCTGGGAAAGACTGGGGTGGACTGCTGTTTGACACACCACCAAAGTGACAGGAGGGCTTTTAGTAGCACTACATAAGTAATATTCTTGTGTAGCTAGTCACAAAATTTTTTCATTGACAGAACTGTTTTTTTATTCTAATAGCAAAGGACATTAGGAGATATGGCTTTCAGTACAATGTAATTACACAGGGGAAATGTTAGCAACACTGCTACTGTACACACCCTTCCACTGCACTTAATTGGATCTGGAAAAAAGTCCCAGACTGTAATATGAATATTAAGACTAAATGAAATTTCCAACTCCCTTATGAGTTTTCTGGCAACAAACAGAAGATGGAGGTAGTCATCAGACATGTGCCAAAGCATCTGGAAAAAAATGGGGGAGTCGGCAAATGGAGGCATCCTGTATTTCACATCTATAACTTCCCAGCTGAGCACCCCTTCCAGAAGAGGTGAAGCTCCTAATAGTCACTTCTATTAAATGTGTTATCCAAACAAACGTAAATGAGCAGAGGAAGGAAGTTCTCAGCTACTTGCATGGTACTGTTGTACCACAGTGCTGGAAAAACTAGTTATAGTCAGCATATTCTGACCATATTTTCCACTCACTTTTCTTGGTTACAGAGCATAAATGCTTGCAAGAATAACATAGGAAACAAACTAAATTGTTTCAGAACTTCTTAAAAACATTCTTATTCCCTTTTTTTAAGTAAAAGTGTGCTTTTTTTTTTTTAATAGGTGGTGGATCAAGATCAAACCTCTTCTAAAATACTGTTTCCAAGCTGAGTAATGTGCTGTAGACCAAATTACATAATGACTCCTTTGAACATTATTTTAGAGAGGTCAGATTTGCTGATTACTGTACTAATTTAGGGAAAATTGACAATCCAGAACTTCTACTGGTATTTAGAGATGGCTGAGCACACTCACAGAGCTTAAACTTTCCACCAGAATGCTGAATTTCTCCCATGCCAGTTGCTAAAAAATAAAGCTTACCCTGCTTTCTTGGCTTTTAAAATGGGTATTGCTTCTGAGGAAGCATTAACAAAAACATGAGGAAAAGAGCGGCACAGTGAGAAATGTTTTCTATAAATAAAAGCTAGAGGAAATTTTTTGAAAACTGCAGTCAACACAAGACAGCTGGGAACCCCAAAAGCCAGACATTTCCAGTGTTATGTAGCCTTTCTCCCTTGGTACCAGGAGCAGTGTAAGAATTTTTCTAGTTTGGTAATGTTCCTTCACAAATGTAAGACATCAATTCTCCCTGATTAGAGCAGGCTGTCTAAGCTTTTTTTCTCTAAGACAAAATGTGCTGGAGATCACTGAACCTTGTTCAGCTATGTAATTTCTGTATCAAAGGAATACAGAATCTTAAACTTTGTAGGCTACCTTTTAGTACTTTTTTTGGCTGGAATCCGTGAAAAGCCAATAGATCAGTAATGTATGTATTAAACATCAATCCAATTCTAACAAAACCATCAAATTTAACACTTTGGATACAATGCGGAATAATATGATCTCAGTGAAGAAACTGGGCAACAGAGATTAGATCCAATTTAGTGAAGAACCTGGGCAGCAAGAATTAGATGCATCAGCTGGGAGGATTAAATCTGATATGCAGTTCAAGAACTGTTGTATTTCTCTTCTCCTATTTCCCCTGGACACAGTCTTGCATCAAAAGGGTTTTTTTAAGTGCCCTGGTAACCCAGAAACACAGGAGCATCTGCCACTGCAATGGTCAGATAAAACTCATTCATATAAGGCTGCTAACATTATGCACATATACTCACAAGTTAGCAAAGTAATGAATCAGAACTAAAGAAAAAGTCCATACCTGTCTCTGGAATTGTATTTTAACTTCTCCCCAATTTGCCACACCAGATACTGATTTCTCAGCCTTCCTAGTAAATTCATGTCTGAGCTATTTTGGGACAAGGCTCTTGACACAGTTGAAACATGTGAGATGCAGAAAAGATTGGCTATGGCCTTGGCAACTGGATTATCTGAGATGTTTTCAAGAATGATTAACTTTGGCATCCAGGGATTGTTACAATCTTCCAGGTACAAACATGACTATCTCTTTGAACTCTTTATTGCTCCCTGTCCTATGCTTTCTTGAGCAGTCTGCCACAGAATTTCACAACTCTGTTGATGGGAGATCTTGTAATTTCTATCTCTGTTTATTCATGGACAACTTGCATGTTTTGTGCTTGGACCAATGATACTGTTGGTCCTGCACAGTTCTTTTGCTTCACCAGTTTCTGCCCTCTGGTTTACTTACAAAGCTCACAAAGGCCTTTCATTTTGGAAAGATAAACAAACTGCCTCTCAGAATACAGTCATTCAAGTATCCTTTTCTGTATCTAGTCCCACCTGATTGAGTCCTTCTGGAATACAAATGCCCAGAACTGTGTGTACTACTTAGATAAAGTCTTCTCGTACTTTGTGCAGTGGCATTAACAAGACACCTTGCCTCATGTGTTCTAGGATTTCACTTAATTTCTAACCACTTTATTGTGCTTTTATTTCAGAGAGATCTGGCGTGCCTTTCCTTCTTGCCAGGTGTGAAGCTCTAAGTTTATAGTAGGATTTATTGTCTTAGTCCTTGCATGCATCAGTCTGAAGTAACAGAAGTGGGATGAATTAGTACAAAGAGCAGTTTTTAAAATCATCTAAAGATGCTTGACTTTGTTTCATATACAAATTTCATGCCATCATACTTGTGCCTATTTATCAGTGAAAATACAATGTAGGAATAGTCCCAAGGCTGGTGAGCGAGGAACTTAATTGCTACTTGCCTTTCAACAACAAGTAGTCAATCTTTAGATATTATTCAATCATCTTCCTCTGAGTTAATTTCTGACCCATCTGCACTTGTTGTATTAGTCTCTACCTTTTCCATTTTAAACAAAAATTTGCCATATGTGCTTTTATCTAAAGTTTCATTGAAAACTTTACACATGTGAATTATTGCCTAAGCTTGGTCTAAAATTTTAGTCTACTAAAGAAGAGGCTAAATTAATCTGGCACAGTCATTTTTGCTAGATAAATTTTATCCATGATTATTGTTACATATTATTTTATCCATTATATAATCTGGTGTGTGAATTGTACCCATTTTTCCATACGCTTAGCTACTACTTCTTTGAAAATTATTTTTTAAAAAATCTGTATTACTCAGGTAAGACTAGAGATATCTGCATGCATTTGGTGTGCATTTTGTTTAAATATAGGTAAAATATATGCTACTTTCTAGTGACACAGCATTTTCTCCAAGTTGCCTTGCACTTAACTTGCCATTACATGCTTCTGTCTAACACAGTAATCACCCTCCTAACTGCACAGACAGCATTAAATGTTAGATTAACTTCCTCATACAAATACCTGAGGCAAAGTACCTGTACAGTAAGATTATCTTCTCATAATGCCAGTGTCCATCTCTCAGAGCTTTTCCTCAGAGATTTATACTGTTTGTTGTTACTATGAATAAGTTTTCATACAGTCTTACCTTAGGACCTTCAGGGCCATTTAATCCAGGTACACCAATATCTCCTGGAAAACCCTAAATAAAGCATACAGACAAATGATTTAGAGAGTAGGAATGTTTCCACTGTATTTGTTTTGATTCTGTTCATTCATTTAACAAACCTGAATCACAAAACCAAGAAATAAATTTGTTCTACCATCCCCAAAATGTCAAAATCCATTAAGTTTCCTTGAAAGGACTTGGATAAGTGACAGATTTCAGGCAGCTTTCATTAAACTCAATTTAGCAGATGTCAGTATGGGTTTCATTTTTCTTAGCATAAGACTTTTTACCCACTAAGCAATGTTTGAAAGTAAACCATTAGATTGGTCTTGATGCATAAAACAACCCTACAAAGCAGCCAGCACCAGGTCCTGTACTCATGAATTCAACTACTTTTTAAAAAAGGCTTAGAGAGCAGCTGAAGCCCTTTAATCCTCAGCCACACTTTAATGACAAGATCACTGCAAGATTAAGAAAAGGGTAGAAAGCCTTTTGCCTCCAAATCAGCAGGTGCTAATCCAGGTCTGGCTGGCAGTAACTGAAGGTCACCAGCGTGTAGTATTATTCAGAATAAGCCTTTGTGAAATAGTGTGTGGTACAGGTGCAGCTGTTGGTAAAGAAAAAATGGATATGCAAAGGAAATGAATCAACTAAAATTATCACCCCCAACCATCTGGCCAGTAGGCACTGAGCGGGACACCTTGAGGATGCCTCTATGTCAGAGGAATCCAGTCCTACAACCAGATTGCTTTATAAGGCAGGAGTGTGTTTTAAGGAAACAAAAATGATACAGCAAATTCTTATACAATACACTAGTGAGCTAAATTTCATAAACAACCAGTGAAGAAAGTAATCTTTATATTTGTAGGATAAAGTAAAGCACTGGTAACTGACATTTTAGTTAGCACAGGGCTCACTCAATCACCTGCCAAGATAGTATTTGATTTTGTTATTTTTATAAACTTCTAAATTTCATTAAATCTTGCCTATCTGAAAATAGAAAGACTGCCACTGAAAAGTTCTTCCTCCGAGTAAAATATTTGTTACTACATCTGTGCACATTCATCGCCTAACACTAGTAAAAACAAGTTTCCTTCTTCCTTAACAGAAAATCACTGCAGATTAAAAATTATAAATAATCATTCTTTGCGCACATACTTTTCCAATAATGGGAATGAAAGCGTCATACACGTTCAGAACAATTTAAAGAACATCTCATAAAGAACTTCCAGCATGAAATTCTCTCTGGCACCCTTCCGTACCAATGCAGGCTAATACATGTCATCATTACAGCTTGAAGAGTCACTTTTTAGATTCTCTAAGCAGGAAAGAGGTACTAAAGGAGTAGAGTGATCCACTAGGTGGATAATAATTAACCATACTCTATTCTTCCAGAACAGCTGAGCTTCAAATACAGGTAAGAACTATTTCTAATGATTATTCATAATTAACTGACAGCAATCACAAAAAAAAAAACTTACCAGAAAGGTAAAGAGAAATCACACTAAACCAAGAAGTTTAAAAGAAAATGTTATTTCACCCTCAACTACCACATTATAATAAAATTTTAAAAAGTATTTAGGGCATCACTGTTCTTACTCGTAGGGCTTTCTTCTGTTTGTTTTCTCTAACCTGTTCTTAACAGGATGCAGAGAGACTTATAAGCAGAGATTTAGATGGGATGTAAATATTTTTAGGTGTGTTTATATACCAAATAAAAAATAAACATAGAACACAAAATATGACACAGAATTATAATGTCTTTTAAAAAAATAAATTTTAGCACTTGAATGCTAATAAGCACTAAAGCAAACCACTAAAGAGCAAAAAAGAACTGATCCGAGTTTTCAGAATAAGTGGAACAACCCTATCACACAGCATTTCACCAAACTTCACCGTGGTAATTTCTTTCTTTCTGCTGTAAAGCAGCAACTACCAGCAGAGCTGTGCAACAACTCCAGCATGCCTCTAGGTGGCACATAGCATATTAGCCACCTGTGACCAAGGTATCCAGACTGATACCCAAAGTCCTCACTCACCTCAGCCTGGATTTCGATTACCGTTTGTAAGCAGATATTTCAAAAATCCTGACCACGCTTATCTACTGCAATACACTGAAGTGTTAGTTCAATTCTTTGGAAATTGCTAACTCATCCTTTCTTAATTTTAAATATGCTTATTTACAGACATTAAATAGTTATCAAGGGATGGGCTGTCTTGCACATCTGTAAATCTTTAACTTACGAATGTGTGAACAAGTGCTAAATGCTGACACAATTTCCCTCATGGCATTAAACATTCCTGAAAACAATCTTGTCAAGAAAAATGTCTATTTAGAAAGATTCTTATATTTTTATGAGGGAATAGGTCCACATTATTTATTTGCGTAAATACTTCTAAAAGGAATTCAGTAAGAACTATGAGATGTAAACATTGACATGCACTATCACAGTTAGAGCAACCGTGACATTTGGAAACCTTTCCATGTCAGGCAAAATCTTCGGATGCGTGTGGGCTACTGGCCTGAGAACATCAACACTAGCAATGCATTTAAAAGTTTAAAATCATGATCATTTTTGTCTTTGCTGTAAAGCTGGATTTAGCCTTTTCTTCTCAGACACTACCATAGAGAAAATGCTATGGTACTATTAGAATACTATTTCCAAGACGTTCTCACATTAATATCCCATGAGACAACTGTAATAATCCAGGACACAGATAGCCACTTAAGACAATTCCAGAAAATGAATGAACCAGAAAGCAGTTCTTAAAACACCTCAGCAATGGCATTTGCCATTCAGATTCCAAGTAGTGAGGTGGTATACATTCTCTACGTATATCTGAATTTGCCAAGAGTTGTTCAGCAGCCAGCTCCCTGTGAAGCTACTCCATATTAAAAATTCATTATTCTTCCATAAGTGAAAGGGCAGGAGATCAATGTATAGTTTCCAGGTGCAATTTAGTTTTCAGCAGAGACTATTCAGAACAAAACATCACTCCATATTATGACTTCTACTAAGGAAATGCAAAGTGTAGATTCTTATCTTCCCATCAGCCAGAAGCCTGGCAGCTGGTAGGTTACAAATTATTTTCAAAATCTTGCTGCACATGTGGCCTTTTGCTGGCAAAGCACTTTAGACTTCACTCAGTTTCATCTAACTAGAAGTGGTGTCAGAAAAACCTGAAGTACCAGCTGTCTCAGCACAAATGTGCTTTAACCTTGCTGTGAAAGTGTTGTGCTTTGTACTGAATGCATTTAAACATAACATTAACATATTCATTGCTCTCATTTATCTATATAATCTTTAATTAGCAAAAATGCAGAGCTGATCAGATTGTTGTTATGTGAGGGCATGTCTGCTTGTACTGAAGTCAGTGCCTCAGAGATGAGGGATCTGCAAAAGCTGCTGTTTTTCTTTTGTTTGTTTTCCTATGTGACTGCTGACATGGAAGCAGAATATCAGAAATGTTTGGAAATTACACTCCATTTCCACTAGGAATTGTCTTACATTTGCAGAATCCCACTCACTCCAAGCTGTTTCCACATGACATCTGCCAGCACTGCAATTAGTCACTGGCCCTCACGCCCTCCAGCTCCTCAGCAGCCCTCAGTGGGATCGGACATGAGAGCTGATGGAAGGGCACCATAAAGAAAAAACCTCTCCAGGGACTGTGATAGTCCCTTCAGTTGCCAAGTTTCCCTGCTCCAGTATTATTTCATTCAATCACATGCTGTGTTTCATTTGAATGAGAACTTAGAATGAATTTTCAGAAGCAATACCAACTGGACGCAGCTACTGAACTTCAACAAGATACCTTATTAAACCTTTATTACTAATTATTATTAACCTACAAAAGAAAGATTTCTGCATAAAACTAAAATCTCTCTAAACTGAAAGAGCTGTGATTTTGTATTCTTCAGTAAGTGTTTATTATTCTTCTGAACAGACACGCTATGCAGAGATACAGGTCAATGGAAAAAAATCTATTTTTTTCTCTACACAATTTTAGAAATGTCAGTATTCACACAGTTACAGGACTTTGCTCTTTGCCATTTGTACAACTGTGTGAGAGCATCAGCTGAGGATAAAGAGGAACATAGTAAGGAAAAAAAAGATTTGAAATGAGCTTTCTTCTGTGTGTGCCAATCTAGCCAAAGTTTAATGCCAGCATTTTTAAAGGACAAACACAAAACTTTAATTTTTTTTCCTACAAACCTTCAATTCTGATTTTCAAAAGTGTGGAGAAAGGAATCTAACAGTACAAATTACAACGGTACAATTGCAGTTTGTCAGAGAAGAGTAAACAGGGCAACCATGGATTACAGCATACAATACAGGAAAGCTTTGCTATTTACTGTTGCTAAAATGTCAGTAAAATGATGCTGAAGTTGTTTCGTGTTTTTGTCTAATTGCACATGGCAGATCTGTTCAGCCATGCTCACTGAAACACTAGTGATATTGATTTTCCTGAGAGACTTAAAGTCACCAGTTCTCCAAGTGTGATGCATCACCCTTTAAAGTCATCTAGCACATCTAGTTATTATATGCAACACATGATAGAATCATTGTGTTTACAACAAGCAGTATCTTGTGTAGCCTGCTTTATTGTGTGAACAAGGCCCCACACCATGGGGGACCACATGTCCTTCACGGACCTGCTTGGCTGCTTGATGGCCAAGGAGGCAGCTGGTGATGCACCTGACTGACCAGCACAGCAGCACCAGCCATCAATCAACATATTAAGGACCAAGTCTTGAAGCATTCTGTAAATCTACAGTGTGAAAGATTAAGAGCTTTGGTAAGAACTTCAGTGCAGACCCACTCCAAGGATCAGACAGGATTTCCAGAGGGAGCATGGCACAGTTTGGTTAGAGCTACAGTTGCTGTTGAACTCCGTTTAACAGTCTCCCTGTCTGCCCTGAAGCCTTCCAGTAGTCAACACACAAGATGTGCCATGGAAGAGGTGGTCTGTTGGGCAATCACGGCCACGGGACACCTTAGCCACCTGATCAATTACTTTCACAAGACTCAAAAATCAAGCCAGGCATTCAACATCCACAGCTACTTCTGTGGAACTTTCTAATACATATAACAATGCTAAGCAGAGAGATCTCCGTTTTAAGATTTTATTCTGACTTATGGTGAGAACAAGCACCAAATGTGGGCATTTCACAAGTGACAGAAATACCAGATTATGTATTTAGTTTAAAATATTTAGGCTTGTTTTTGTGTTACAAGCCCTCCAATAACACTTAAAATTGCTAAGGTCTGAGGAATGCACCTTCTTTCAGACATGCTACTAATGATACTAGTGACAGTGGGGTTAGGCAAAGCCTGAGTATAGAGAAAAGTCATCAGGAACAACTCTATGCATGTTGAAAATCAACTATTCCTTACTTTAAACCTTAGAAAAAAGACTAGTAACTAACAGTCAGTGAAATAATCCTTGTGCAAGAGGAATTATGTTCTCTTGCAGGAGGATTATATCACTGTACATTGCTTCTATGCTGCTAACAACTGTGCACGCATACAGATCAGACTACATCTAGACTGAGGCCAGACCAAAAAGTAAGGTAGAAATTTCAAATTTATTTGCAAGACTACTGTTTCTTCTAAGATCAACACCAAAACCCAAAAGCCAAAGCAGTGCAGGTGTTTAAAAAAAAAACACAAACCTTTAAATATTAGCTTGCCTTACTCTTGGCAGATTCAGAACATTAGGAGTTAAATAATGCCCTAGTAAAGCAACACAAATCAAGTTTTGTTTATGTGCATGCCCATTCTTTTCTAGTGAAGTCTCATCACAGCTCTGCCTGAAAAAGGAAAAGCTGCAAGACGACAAATTCTATGCAAAGGTCTGTGGAAATAGACTAGGACCTAACAGGCACAGACTGAACTATCGTAATCACTCTGAAGAAAATACAAAACACAGGAGGGTCACCTGAGCAAACATTGTTCAACATTATTAAAAAGTCAAGGTAAATTGAATATTCTGCAAAATTAATACACATTTCTTTAAAAGAAAGACCAGAAAGACGTACTTATGTAAAATAAAATTATGAAAGGACCAGTTAAAGATTCTGTGCAAAGGCAAGCAGAAAGTATAAACAATTCTACAAGCACAGTTCCTCAGATGTATGCCAGAACATGCAATTAATTCAGCTATAAAACTGTCTTTATTTCTATATTTCCTTCAACTCATTTGCATGCAAGTTATTTGATGCAATATTGAAATAGGAGGCTATGTTATCACTGCACTCAAGGTATTGTTTGCACAACCTCAAAACACCATGTGATAAGATAAAACATGCATTAAAAAGAAACTTTTTTTAAAAATTAACAACTCAATGCAGCCAGCGATTCACTTCAAAAGTACGTGCCTTTTTGACTGTTTACTATTATTTGAATGTATCCTTTTCCTTCGTAATGCTATTGCCTTGAGCACAAAACAGAGCAGCTGAACTCCATATGAGTACCTTCCTGAAAGAACAAGCTAACAATTTCAGATCAAAATACTGCACAGATGAAAAAAGTTCTGTTGAAGATAATGACTAATGCTCCCTCTGCTCCAGATGAAACCCATTTATAATACTCAGAGCACATCTGAAGGCACATCTGAAAGAAACTATCACCCTCATTCTTGGGGGATAATTAAATGTGAATCATAGAGAAAAATTTAACTACAAAATATTCTGAATACATGTGGAAGCCTGCTAAAACCTTGTCTAATTTCATTCACATTAACAATAAGCATTACATACTTTATTGTGCACAGTAAACACAGGCATTGTGGGTTAAAACAGTCAGACTGGCACTTTCCAGTTGTCATACCAATAAAACAAAGCTCTCTAGAAAGTTGAAATCTTGGCTGTTCATTTTTAGATGCACGACAATGCAGGAAAATGTGTAAACTGATGAAGAATATGCTTCATAAAGCACTCACTAAAGATCCGGTGCTTTGTGAGCAGCACGCATCCAGGCACGCGACAGACTCTGGCTCTGCGGCAACACACCCACAAGAGAATTTGGCTTGACACCGCAGGACTTCTGCACTGAAAAAAATGCGCTTGGCAGCCAACCGTCATACGGCTGCCCAGAGAGCGAGCATGAGACCTCTGTCCCTCCCTCTACTCGCTCCTGCCCATCAGCACTGCAGCTCTCAGATGGACCCTGGCTATGAGTGGGTAGCTTATTTCAACTCTGATCTGGTGTACCCAGGCTGCACAGCTGCAGAGGAAAGATTTAGGCAGCAATTCACTGCTGACCCGCCTATAAAAAGCCAAATAGCCGGGAGGATGAATGAAGCCTGCTCCCACTGTTGTGTGCAGAGACAACTATAGACTTCAGCTGCTACGGTGCCTGATTTACAGCAAATTACACAGGAAGAAAATTAGCGATATGACTGCTTATTCTTTATACTGAAAATTAAATGTGTAATTGGAGAGACTAAAGGATCCCCAGTTTCTTGTTTCACATGTACCCCAAAAAAACTTGAATGTGGTAACAGGGCACATTTATAAATCCTACTCTCTTAGTGTTGGACAAAAGGGGAGAGACATAGTTCGAAGTAGGATCTGACACGTTCTGCCACTCGGCAGACACAGCCCAGCCTTGTTTTTCCTCCTGACAGCAATGCCCAACAAATC